TAACATAAACTAGATCGTAATTTACTTAACGAAAATATTGTATATTTAAAATATTTTTAAAAAATAAGTCATTTGACTTAAATAAGTGTTTTTACCATGTAAATTTTTCTGAAAATCAGATCTACAAATTGGCTATATCCAATATTTCGAAAAAAATATTTAGGTTTTTTATTTTTAGTATTATAAAATAAAAAATAAAAATGTATTCTAAAAATGTAGCACGAGTTATATTAAAMAGAAATGTTAAAAAAATATTAATTAAAACAAAAGTTATTTCATTTGTCAGATCTCTGTGGGACCACCCTGTATACCTGTATCCAATCGGTGATCGGGAGGAGCGACCAACAAAATTTTTGGTACGTCCACGTGACGCCGGCATTTCAAATACCGTACAATGAACCGCAAAGGGTCAGAGGGTTGTGAGATGACGAACGCCTTAACCATGTTCTGGAAAAGAAAAAAATTCATCGACATAAATATCATTAATTGTCTAACCTTTAGAAATAATACGCTATTATGAATACACGTACAACAATCTAGGGCTATAGCACGAAACTATGAGTAGGACTATTTTAAACCTTTAAAATCAAAGACAACGATTATTTATTGTTTTTTAAACCCTAGCCCACTTCTCGATGTTTTTCCTTTATAAGGAAAATTTATGAATTATATATTATAGATAGGTTTTTGAGTATTACTACTGGCTGACCTTTCTCTTCACGTGACCATGTTTTGAATTTATACATATATTTTTTTCGCACATATGTTTATTGTAAAAACCATTACAGATTGTGTATAATCCAATAAAAATGAAAAATATTTTTGTTAATAAGTAACCATGACAGCGAAAAACTTACGAAAAATCAGTTAGAAATATTTTATTGTGCTTACTAAAGCACGATAAATATTCGAAATTAGTTTGTATTTAACCCAAAAACATATTATTACCTAGTTAAAAAAAGCAAGTAAACATGTGATCTCAGAGTTATCCAGCTATGAAAGATCAAAAATTATTTAAAAAACAATTATACTTATAAGACATGTTAATATTAAAATATAATATAAAGGATTTGCGAGAAGTTAAAGCATAATTTCATAAATATATTTTATTACACGAGGTGTAATAATTTGGTATTTGAATTTTAAATAATTAATAAAACTGCCAGTAAAATTTTTTGCTAATTTAAAAAAATTATAAAAAATGTTTGTATGATTTTTGACTATACGATGATCATATTTTTGACGATTGTGATATTACTAATTCGTTTACACATCTATATAATGAATGGATTGAATTGAAAGGTTTTTTTCTTAATTTTTAGGAGGCATAAAATTATAATACGTATAGAATAGAGACCTAGCTGATACGTATATGTGTACGTACCCTAAACATTTCATATATCCTGTGCTTTTCCAAGTAACACGTCTGTCTGGCTTTGATAATTTCCATGGTTGACGTTTAAGACTTAATGAGTAATGTCAAGGCTATGAAAAACGAATAAGTCAGTTACCTTTATTCTTCCGGACGAGTGATATTAATATCACGAAATTTGTCGCTCATGGCAACCACATTTCCGCGTTCAAAATGCAAATAATAAAAACAATATACACATCATTTATCGTGAACTCTATAGAAAGAAAAAAATGCAATCCTTTTTGAATTTATTTTTATTTTTGTCGGTTGAGAACACATTGTATTTGTTTGTAATAATACTATATGACTTTAGATACCTATCCGTTCTTAAAATTGTAAAAATTTAAAAATGTTCTGTGTTTTTTAAAACATTTCGAATTTTTTAATTTTAAATGAATCACCCTGTTTATAGTTACCATATTATTATTATATATATATTGAATACGTTCCATACGAATAGTACCTAATACGCAGCACGCGCCTCCTCTTGCAAATCTAACAAATTAACAGTCTTTAAAGTTCTTCAATATTTTTAAATTGTTATCCGGCAAAAAATGTATGTTATATTCGAACACTGTATTATGTTAACATCGGTCATAACTCATCACTACACAATATCTAAAAAAGAAAAGTTATATATTATAGTATATATATGTATCAGCGATATCACAGATAGCAGTGCTCACGAGTTAATTTATAAATATAATTTGTTACTTTTCACCGTCATCGTCATGATTGAAGTGCAACGTGAATAATGACGTTTTTCGGCTACACGTTTTTTTTATGTAATGCGCATTACAATATACGAATTTATATTTTCAGCTTGGAACCACTGAAAGGCTACCAGGGTGAAGACATAGAAATCCAATTACCAAGAAGCCTGACGATGCACTCGATCGATTGGCTGGCCGTCTGGTGCGTGCAGTACACGCACAATTTCGGCCACGTCAACGTCCCGGACGACTTGGACGTGCCACCGGCGTTGGGGCAGACCAAGCTCACCGTGAGTAGTAAATTCAGAGGCGGCGGTGGCGGACAGGGCTCGGGCGGTAGGCCGACGACTGATGGGCCGACGAAAAAACCGCGGCGCCATCAGACGTGGTCGTCATCTCAGCCACCGTCGCCGCCGCCGCCGCCACCGTGGGTTTTCGAATCTTATCCGCAAACCAGACGTGAAGTCTTTGCCAAGATACCGCGGTACCCTAACTACTAATATAATCATATTCCATAATGACATTAGTACACTATTTACCAACATAACTGTACACCCCGATTATATACGTTCTATAACTATTTTACCTATCATTTCGTATCCTTATATTTTATGTTGTTTTATATTATTTTATTATTATTATTATTATTATTATTATTTTGTTTTGTTTAAGTATCTAGTATATTAACGTTTGAATTTTTAATCGGTTTTGTTATAAGTTTATTTTTTTAATAGAGTGACCTTCTTACGATTTACAAAATATGATTTGTGTTATTTTTTTTTACATACATAGCAGTTTTATTTCTAGTTGAAGACGACTATTTTTTTTTTGTTATTATTATTATTTTTGTATTTTTGTATTTTTATATGTGTATTTTGTTTTATGGGGGGGAGGTTAATCCGTTCTCTTTAGTTTACAAATCCTGTCTATTAAAATACACGTTTGTAAATAATATTAAGTTTTTACAAAAAATGCATTAAATTGAAACTTTTGTTATTCATAAAAATAAAATATATATTATATACAAACGTTTC